ATCTATTGGATTGGAGTTTGTGGAAGGGGGGCCAATGACGACGATTGTATTTATAGGTTTAGAGGCTTGAGAACTGAGTATGTGTGAGAGAGAAATAACGATAAAATAAAGGGTGTGCAAGGAGCAGAAGTGATATATTTGATGCTATATATGCGCTTAAAAAAAAAGTGCATGGTTGTTCTTTTAAAATTAAGCCATTAAAAAAATTCTAACTTTCAACAATTTTTTTCTTTTAGAGTCGTTGTCTGTTATAACTAGAGTATTTAGCGTTGCGCTTATCATGAAATTCTAAAGTTTGAGCTTTATATATTGTTATGTTGTTAATTACTTACGCTTTTGTAACTAACTGTGTGGACTTTGATTGCAATGCATCTCTCACAATAATAAACATCTTATTTTGGACAATTATTCTCTAAATTTAATATGTGTATACACTGTACAGCTTCACCAACATACTTATCTAACAAATCAATATTTGAATATACTTTGTCGAGATATTATTGAAAGTGAAGCGAAACAATAGACACGCGTGGTTGAGATCTAAGCTTTGCTTTTCTTTATGTTTTCATGTATTTGAAATGTTATTCAACCAAAATATCGTTGAAACATTGATCTATTTTTATTTTGTTGAGCATCTTTGAGCCTCTTATGCTTATTATCTTTACCAAATCCTAGGCAAAGGCCAACAGTTACTTATAGATCAGCGTCCATGCCCCCAAAGCCTAGAAATCCCGTTTGCAAGTTGTTGAAGTTCTGCTACTTGGATACATACACCATATATATAAGTCGAATATTCTTGTGTGTTTTTTCATAAAAAACTAATGATTAAATTGAATATGAATTTTTTTGGCGATCATGTGCAATGATAGTTTAAGTTAATTGGAATAATTGACTAAAGTAAAAATTATCATTGCACATGATCGACCAAAAAAATTCACATTTTAATTATAAATTGTATTCCTTTTCTTAAAGTAATATTATCATTATTAATGATATATTTGTACCTTATAGATAAAGGAAATACAATTACAAATTAGTTACTTATTTTAATTGTAATTCTTTAGAGGGACAAGCAATGGCCCATTGCTTTTTCAATTCAAATATAGTTTACTATACATTAATTAGTTATGATTTATTGCTCTAACAAACGTTAATATTATACATATGTGATTATAGATTTAGTATCTTTTGTACAAATCCTGTGATACTTGGCTTAAGATATATCGTGCAACGCACGGTATAGAGACTAGTTATTATAAAAGCACGAATACAATGTTGGTTTACAAAAATAACCTTATAATAACTCATATTGAAAAGATATAACTGGAATTCTAGATGTTACCCTTGTAATCCTATATATTAGTTTTAGGATTTAGTGTGTTGGTATATAAAAATATTCCTAAAATATTGAATTTTTTTCGTCCATAATTTTCGGTTGTTATAGAGTCTTTAGGACTTCGAATTCATTAAAAAAATTGCACTCTTGGTTGAGTTAATACTAATACTAATATATCGATGTTTGAAAATATCACTCAAATTTCCACGCATATCATATATTTTGAAGGACATACGAATAAGAACTTTGAATTGGAATAAGATTTGGCTATCCCACTCAAAGTGAAACAGAAAGTCAACATAATATATGTTGTAAAACTTTTCTTCAAAATTTTAAAAATCAAAAGTGCGCATTAAATTAGAAAAAGATCAAGTCTCTAGAGAATTGAATACACTAAAAAAAAAAATCACTAAAAAGGACTTATGGTAAATACGATTTTTACGTATAAGAGGCATTAAAGAGTGTATAATGCAATTGCCACTTGATCTATTTAGAATGAAGTGTGGTTGAAGAATCGTTGTTTGAAAAGGAATCTTTGTGCTAATGACAATTTGAATAGGAATAAAATGCATTGTCTTCCATTAAACTTTTTTTTTTACTTTCAAAACGCTATATCCCCACAAACTCTCCAAGATATCCAAAAAAAATTATATATTATTTATCTACCTAAAGGTGGCGTATTCATATTCAGGTTAGTAAAGCTAATTTTCTATCTTGAATCTTGATTAATGTAAGAATAATCACAATATTCTCCTTTAACTTTCTTTTTTGTTGTTGTTGTTGTTGTTGTAATTTTTTGTTTTAAATATAGGAATTAAATAAAGCATATAAATCTATTAGTTTCTTCTTCTCTTTTTCTCAATGCATGATATGTCTTTAATGCACGTCGACTGGTATATTTATATCCTAACTATATTGTAAAATTCCAAGTTATAAGAAATTATCTTTTTAAAATATTTAACGTAAAAATAATAGGTAATTTTTATTGTTTAGCTCCCTGACATTGATAGGTTAGCTGAGACCGTACTCAGAGATGAAAATTATGACAACTTTAATTTTATGTTCTAGATTGTTACATGGTGTTATTTTAGTACACAATATATTAGTTTTTGATATGTACTCAATATTTTTGATTGGAACTGAACCGCTCATTGCATATGTACGAATTCATAATTTACTAGCACTATTTATGCAAACTATAGAAAAGCTCAATTAGAAAAAGGGACTAAATCTTTTACATAGAAAATTCTGGAGAATGCATAGCAGATGGAAGCGATAATGAAGGTTTAAAATCCAACACCTACAATCAATAAATTACTCTGAGTAATGGGACTATATGCAGTCAAATAATATCAGTATAGATTTTTTCTCTACTGATGTAGGCCATGACTTAACCTACAATTCACTTCACTTTAATTCATTTGAGAAAATATTCTGGCATTTTATGTAAACATAATTGATATATACATCTAAGAATTTGTTAGTACAATCTTTTGTCTTGAAAACTGATATCAGCACCAACAACTCTTAAAAAAAAATCTTATAGAGGAAAATTAATGAAATCTTTTACATTGAAAACCGATATTAACATTAGCGGCCTCTTACAAAAAATCTTATATTATTGCTTTTTTTCTCATCTAATTCCTTTTTACAACAGTTCTAGGGATTCCAAGTGCGAGGCACATGACATAAAAACTAGTAATACAAAATTTATGTATATATTATACCTTAATCGGTTATTTTTAATTTAAGTGGTCAGGTGAGTGGCTATTTGGATTAATTCTAAATAAATAAATAAACAAATGGACGTTTGTCTTTTCAAAGTTTTTTACAACTTTCTCCTCCTATACTTTTATTTGATTAAAACTTGTTTAGGAAGCAGTATTTTTGAAAGTCGCTTAGAAGAACTAGTTTTTTACCAGAAATTTGCTATGGTGGATTTAGTTAACATCATCAACTGGTAATTATAGTAACAGTAACATTATCAGAGCCAATTATAGTTCAAAAACGTAAAATAGAGGTTTTGGCAGCTTTTAGCAAAAATCAAATCAAGCATTATTCAATTTTTTTTTTTTAGTTTCTAATTTATCTTCAATTGAGTGGGAAAAGTTCAAAGTAAAGGTAATATTTGGGGAATATCGAACTCTATAGCTTTAAATTACATGCCACTTACTTTATCGATGAATTATTATTCACTCCTCTCGAGTCTTTTACACCATTAAGGGCAGAAGCATATCCAGAATTTCAAGAACGTAGGTGCACCATGAGCGCCATAGACCCGTGTTTCCAACAGGGTGTCTGAGAGATGTATTTTAAAAGTCAAAATAAAGACTAAAGAAAAAGAAGAAATTTTTTTTTGAAAGAAAACATGTAACCAACAAAAAAAAGGGGGAAGAAAGAAAAGAAACAAAAAAGTGTGTGTAATTAGAAAAAGAGGCAAGGCTTTAACCCTATTTATTACTAATTAACATATAACTCAAAAGAAGAAAGTGTACGGGGATCGAACTCCTGAAAGTGCTTACTTGAGCTTGAGTTAGTGCTTACTTGAGTTTGAGTTTACCTATATTAATTTTAGTATTTGAGCTGAAATTCACTAGCGCTATACGCGAACCCACCCCCTCCAATGTGCAGCTGCCCCTGTTTAAGGAAGTCTTTTTTTATTTTTAAATAAAATATTTCGAGTAATTAGATGTTCATGTATGTATTTAGTACTACACAAACAAGAAAATTAGCATTATAAAGAATTTGGATCTGTGACGACATGAGCTGTTTCCAAAATCGTGCATGCAAGAACCGTGATTATGTCATCCGCCATGCATGATAACATACAAATACTCTCAAAACTTCAACGTAAACATCAAACAGAGTCCCATTTTTTTCCCTTAATAACCTCTTATTTCTATAAATTGACAAAACTCATCCTACAATTCTGCTAACATAAGCACATATAATCAAAACAAGGCGCAGTTTAGGCACAATATAATACATCAGTTACGCATGTCAATCTTTACTGTAAGGTCACTCATGCAAATTCTATGCATGTTGGTTATTATAGTACTAAACAAGATGTTACCTCCTACATATGCAGAGAAATGGCCGTTGTCGCCATCAGCTTCACCAGCATCGGTGATATTCCAACTCCAGGATTTACAGCACAACAACGACAACTACGCCTCAATCCAGGAAGAACAACTAAACAAGCTCAAAGACGTCGAAAAGTCTCAATCTCAGACAGAACAAGAGTATCAAGATTATGGTTTCTGGGATCCTGCACCATACTTTGGCGGAGGTGATCCAGCTCCTGTTCCTCATGGAAGGACCATAAACCAAAGGAGCAAAAAGCAAACTGATCTGAAAACAGTTATTAGACTATAATTCATACGAATACTCGGTAACTGCAATCATCATTTAGGTACACTTACATTTATGTCACCTTACTAAGGTTACAAAGCGTACATGATATGAGGCTATGATGTAAGTAAGAGTTGTAATCTGTTGGATTCAGCTTCCGTTTTGTAATGATACCAAATAAATGCATATAGGTTTGTCTTGGTTATCCACATTCCACAATCTAAAACACGATATACAGGTTCCATTAGCTTATGATCAATTTATCCCTCGCAGCAGAAAAGAATCAACAAAAGCAATAAATGAGATGATCCCATAATATAAAATTATCCAGTACTTTTATATGGAATTCCAAGGATCCAATTCCATTACACAATCATAAACTTTACAGAAATGATTCTCATTTTAAACAAACGGGAGGCACAAATTTTCCAAACTAATGAGAACGTTAAAACTCCAATAACATCATAAACTGTAAGCAGGCTATCTAGAATGTCAACACTCCTGCATATTCCATTAATAAATAAACAAAAACTTGCATCGAGCTGCAACTCTGCTTGGCCACGCACATCCATTTACGTAGCTGAGAACTGTATTGAAGATCTATCGTGTATTATATACCATCTAAGAGGATAAAAGCTTTCAAATATCGTCTAATTGAAGAGGATGAGTCAACCAAAAGCTCGTATTTTGGGCACAAAAGAGGATCAACTACAGCTCCTAAGGCCTGACTTTGAAGAACAGAAGCAAAACAATGTCACCTGTGAGAGAATAAACAGACCAAAGATTCTATCAGTTTTTTTCCAAACCACAAGCTACTCCACTGTTAAATTTGAAAAAACAATTAAATATTTCACAAGTAAATTGCCATCATGAAATTAAATTCTGAAGCCAACTATAATTACATTTAGTGCCTCCTCGAGTCCTTGTTTAATTATTTCTTTTAGGTAAAATAGGAAGAAAGTCATTTATGAAACATAATAAAGTTGATGATTCCCACCAGGAATTGGATGCTAGAGGAAGTATTCTTTTACTGTAAACATGTAGCTAGCTGTAAAGTTACATGTTAAAACTGCAGAATATTGAAGTCTGGTTATTTATGGCTCATAACATTGAGCATTTCAAATTTCAGGCTCTTTTTGTTTGTCTACACAGAAACAGCAATGCTGTAGACGAGTTAAATTTTCACTCGTTTAGAGCCAGTAAACAGGGAAGCTGGATTAATTGGGGTTCTTGAGTTAGCCAGAGGTAACCCTTTTTGCAAATGTGGGGAAAACAATGAGCTTTAGACCAAACAAAATTTCAAATATATAAGCCCAGATTTGAGAAGGGATTACGAACACCAACTCAGGGAGAGCAATATTGACAGTAATTTCAGCAATGATGATGTAGAAGAATTTATTACAAAGAATTTAGATTTTAATGGGAGAAAGAAGGGATAGTTCTCTAAGAATAGGAGATGGGACTCTAGTGATGCACCCTAAAGTAAGGCTGAACGAAGCACCAAGGATCCAACCAAAACTTCACCACCCTAATAATCTACTATGCTTTCCATCATTGACTTAAAAAACCACGGATGCACATTACTTCCCCTTGAACTACAACAACATACCCAGTCCCACACTGTGGGGTCTGGGGATTACTTCCCCTTGAACTCTGACTAATAAAAGTACACAGGCATGTGTACATTGCCAGAACTTGACAAACAAATTCTGAAGGGATACTCACATGAGATGTATGGAAGATGGACCAGTAAAAGCAGCAACCTTCTGAGCACGCTGTGATTCACACTTATAAAGCCCCTTCATTTCTTTTTTCATACGGCGTGCCTCACGTCGTTCTTCCTTCACAGCAGCCTGCAAGATAGAATCTTAATGTTAACAGTATATCAGTTGCATTATGAACAAAAGAGAAGAAAAAAGAAATGCAAAAGGTGCAGGCAAAGTGAAGAACAAGCTCAACAAAGAGATATCCGCATTTGTGCAATATATATCGAGCAATGCGATTCCACAATAAATAATATTGATACAACCATAGACCTTTCTTTCTTTCTTTTCCTCCTTTGACTCTTCACCATGTTGCTTTCTTTTGAGTTGTTCTGACTTTGAGTTATCCTTTTCCTCCTTTTCTGACCCTTGCTTTTTCTTATCCTCCTTTTGCACGGCATGCTTACCCTTGCTTGGCAAATAGTCGACCGGAAGCTTCTCTTTTCCTTTTAAGGAAATTATGGGTGAGGCTTCAGAAATAGCAGGGAGCAACTTTTTTCTCCTCGCTCCAGGAGCTACAATTTTTCCAGGGTGGTTATCAAGATTTGAATACGTTGACACTATAGTTTCACAATCCCATACTTCTGAGTCACTGCTGCTTTCATCTAAAACAGCTGCCTCTTCCTCTGGACCTTCAATTTCATACTTTTCAGCATATTCTTTGCACCGGCTTATGACATCAGCTGCAGGTTCAAGCAACTCCCCATCATCTGGTCTATTATTATTAAGTTCAATGCCATCAATGGCACACTCCTTAAATGCATGATTAAGCTTTTCTGCAAGGGACTCTTGACACTCATTTTCCTCAATCATATCATCATCATATTCATCTTCGGTATTTGAGCCATACTCTTGAAGTTCAAGCTGAAAAGGTGAGATGCAAGACAGTGATAAGACAATTAAACAATATCAGAGAACATGCAGTATCTTTAATAGGCAGACATAATATCAACTCTCTAGTGAATAAAATACTTACAAGAGACTTAAGGACCCTCAAGACTTTTGTTAAATTTTACAAGGAGGCCTACGCCGACCAGACTATATTATTATTCTTATTCTCCTACCTAAAAGCAAGTAGACTCCAAATTTAAACAAGAAAACGTCATATAAATCCTAATAAAGCAAACTCTGTAAATTACTACAAAAATAGAAAATGACCAAACTACTATACACACCATAAGCTTAACCAAATTCGCTAAAACTTAGAAGCAACTTAGAACTGAAAATAAAACGTAAAGCTAAACCTACAAGTCAGCAGATGCTTATGGCTTCAGTGATGTAAAACAAACTATTTTCTCTTATTTTCCTCTTTCAGCCCATCTCTAAACGGTTTTTACGAGTTTTTCTTGCCCAATGAACAGACACAACCGTGATATGAAACCAGTCATCAGAACAAAAATGGTCAAGGAATGAGTCTAACAGCTTGCTGAAAAACAACAGTGTTAATAGGATGTACTAATTAGAACTTAGAAGTATAATAGTCTGAGGGAAGAATATAAGAGCTTTAGTGGAAATACCTAATACTTATAAACACAGACGTAAATATAAACTCAATCTCAGCTGAAAACGGATAATAATAAATCTTTCTACAAGCAATTACCATGTTAAGAGACAGAAGGTTGCTTAGACTGCCTCTATTAGCAAGCAAAACGAACAAAGGAGAAATAAAACTTTGCAAAGAAATAATGTCTTGAGAAAATGTTCTTAAGGCAGATACTGAAAACTTTTACACCTAATGGGGTGGGCCTAACAGTCAAAGGGTTGGAGTAACAACCTTGAGAATCAAGATTTGAACGCCTCAGAGGCAGTACTGGGTAAATTCCTTTTTCTTTTCCTTTTCGTATTGCCGAGCCAGCGCACCTCCACTATTCCACAATGCACTGCAGCCTCCCACCATAACTAGGTAAATTCTTCCCATCTAACTAAGACATCGTGGGAAAAGCGACTCAATACTTGTGCTAGTGCAAGGTAGTATCTAGAATGTAACCCAATGAATATCAAGATGAGCACCAGAAGGCCCGGAACCACATTATCTAAGAAAAGGCAACTTAAACCAATTAGAACATTTAACACGGGCTGAGCATAATTATGGTCTCTTTAGCTAGCTTTATTTGCAGTAATTGCTCTCTTGTAAGTTGTGAGCAGGCTAGTAAAATAATAACCTCGCGTACTTGTACAGCCGTACAGGTAAAAAAAAGGAGAACAAACTGCTTACCAGATCAAACTGTTCATCCAGAAGGCGGCGTGCTCTTGGCTTCTCTTCAAAATTTGCAATTTTGCCCTCATTTCTCTGCACATGCCCAGCTGTATCATTGCGTCCTACTTTGTCAAGGTTCGATTTCTCTGGCAAGCTTAAATTGTTATCAAGTTCCACATTAACTGCCCCATCGTGTATGTTTGCCTTAATCATAAAATCTTCCTCTAATTCTAAATCCTCCACATCAGACCCAATATGTGACAAATCACTGTCATCGAGCAAGGCGGCAACTTCAGGATCCAATGCTTTCTGAACTCTTATCCCTACTGTCTTAGCTGCCACATTGTATACAGTCTTCTCATTGTAATCATCGTTCACTTTCGCAACCTCGACTTTTGAAGCATCATATGCCTAGCCAAAACCATAAATTCATTAGCTTGAAATAACAAGCCACAAAGCTATCGCCTTTAAAAATCATTAATCATTCTTTGCTTTTTCTCCCTTCCGATAAGTATACTGGTAAGAACATATACTACCCAGATCCGAGCCAGAAGGCTGAGAAAAGTACACTTTTGATGAGTATAATATTCATAGAACCTCAAATAGAGCAGAATGGAATAAAGGATTTATATAGCCAGACACCAATTAGCTAGCAATTGAGTGATACTTAATTGTGTAATTAAACTAATTCAACCAGAGCTGACATTATTAATAATTCTGTATAATTACAGAAGACAGAATAATACCACAACAACAATTACGCCTCAGCCTCAAACAAGTCGGGGTTGGCTATATGGCCATGTTATAACTCATATATAATACGAATAACACTGATTCTTCATAATTATATATTCTAAGGAATAACACAAAATATTCAACCAAAGCTAACATTTTCAGAAAGATAAGATAAAGTAGCTTTAAGAACAAAAACTATAACTTCCGAGCAAGTGTTGACATAGTTCAAATGCGATTATACAATAATTCATTAGAATTAACGAACCTTAACATCATGTGGAAGCTCATTAAGCTTAGCTTTAGGATTCTCATAATAAGCAGAGCCGCCACCAGTATTCTTAATCTCCCTCAAGTGAGTTAAATAATTATACCCATCGTCAGGGAACCCAAGTTCCAATATCTCCTTTCTAACATCATCCGGTAATTGAGTTCGGGTACCCGAAAATTCGGCCCAACCATCTTCATCTTCCGGAGCATCCGCGAAGATTGAGTTCGGGTCATCGCCGTTATGTTCATCGGCGTCAAAGCTTTCGATTGAGTAGTTATTGTTGTCAACTCTGACGAATACTCTGTCTGTGGCGGCGGAGGGTCCGGATTCGTAAACCGGATCCGAGGAATCGCGGGCGAATAACTGGAATGTAGCTGCTTTCTTCTTGTCGATGAACTTTTTCTTCCCCATTGATTACACACAAGTAGTAATTTCCGGCACAAGAGAGTATTTTGGAACTCTTATTTTAGCTGTAGAGAAGCTTTTGTACGCTAAAACCCTAAAACCAGAGAGCCACATGACACGTGAGTATCACGTGACATTTTTCGCAATTCAGTTGCAATACAGTAAAAAAAAATTTTTTTTTTTCAGAAACATAAAAATTTAAAACAAAGCTTAAGTGGTGTTTGGATTGGCTTTTAAGCTAAATTAGCTTTTAATCTCTTTTTATTTTTTTTCTAGTGTTTGACAAGGTTAAAAGTGCTTAAAATAAATTAAAATAAAAGCGATAAGTTGAGCAACTCCAACTTTTATTGTTTTTTGAGTAATTTATGCAAAATACCCATTGAGCTTAAAATAATTATCCTTCTCTACTAATTTGAAAACTATTTACAATATATGCCTACCCAGTTAAAGTTAACTACTTAATCCACCTACCCACTCATTCCAACTTTTTTTACCTATTTGGCTTGGCTTGGCAATTTAATAGCTTAGTGGGCCTTTGGACATAAGATTGTAAAATTTCAAAATAGGGGAAATTTTTTTTGACAAAATTACAGAATAATGCACTCCATAAGTTAATCTTGCACTATTTTAGCCCAGCTATAAGTTTGCAAATGTATAACCAAATATCAATAAGATCTTTTCTTTTCCCATTCACTCTAATTATAACAACCTCATTTATTCCTACCTACCCCTATTGTAGCTCTCTCCTTATTTTTCACCCATAAATATTTAATTTAATTAATGAAAAAGAATCATATGCAAACAAAACTGAAAAGAAAAATTACTTCCCCATTCAGTCAACACTCATTCGTACCTTCTTCCATAACCAATACTTCTCTATTTTTTTTAATAAAAATTTTGTATATCTTCAGGTTTATACATACTTATCACAACTGCAAAACGCAAAAACAGACGCGAGAAACCTAAAATCTCATCTCCTTTAATGCTAATCTTGTTAAATTTCGATTATGATTTTATGAGAAATTTGGAGTGAGTATTGTTTGAACTTATGAGAAATAGTCTAAGTAGGTTGTATACAAAGTTTGAAGTTATTTGTTGGAGATTTAGACTAGTTTTATACAAGAACTGCAAGTGAAAATCGTACAAAAATTTCGTCAATGATGCTTATACACTTTTATACAATGTTATACACTTTTATACAAAGAGGTACAATATGCATATAGTTGTATAAAAGTGTATAAAGATGTATAATCACAGAGTGAAAATATTCTTGATACACTATGTATATAGGTGTATAAGAAGAATGAGAAAAAGAGGAAGAAAATGCGAGAAATTCACCAAATACCTGTAAATAATGTATCAACCTTGGATATAATAGTGTATAAGTTGTGTTTATACACTATTATATATATTATTTATACAATATTATACATTATTATACAGATGAATCCTATCAATGGAGCTTCATGCGTTCTTCTTCTTCCTTGGATATCCTCTTAAATTTAACTCAAATATAGCCTAAAGCTACTCCAAATCACTTGAGATTTAAGTTTTGAACTCATCTTGATGATTCTAATCAATTGAGACAACACCCATTCCAAACAACTAACATATCGGAAAACTCAATTTCTGAAATTTAACTCAAATATTACCTAAATCTACTCCAAATCACTTGAAATTTAAGTTTTGAACTCATCTTGATGATTCCAATCAATTGAGACAACACCCACTCCAAACAACTAAAAAATCGGAAAACTCAATTTCTGAAATCAAATCTTCGAACCACCTGTAATGGTGACTTTTATTTTTCAAATCCTTAATCAACCATTGGAATCCGAAAAAGAATTGAAGGAGAATAACAATAGTAGAAAAATTTTGTGGTGCAAAGGCTGACCTGGGAAGGAGAAGAAGAAGGTGGGCTAACTGGAACGAAGAAAAAAGGGGAGTGACAAGGGATGTAACTGGAACGAAGAAAAAATGGGCTAACTAGTGAAAAGTAATTTTCAGGTTATGTACAATCTGGGCTATACTGGGTAAGGGCTTCAAACATAGGCCATTTTCTGATGGGTTGTTGGGCCAAGTGACAAGGGATGTAATTCTCTCAATTTTTTTTCAAGTGAAAATGATATTTGAAATTTATAGTTGCGTTTGGACATGAATATAATTTTGGGTTATTTTGAAGTTTTGTAAGTTATTTGAGTGAAAAAATTTTAAAACGGCTTTTTGGAGTTTTCAAATTTTCAAAACTTTCCAAAATACATCTTCAAGTGAAAATTGAAAATTTAATGAACAAACGTTGATTTCGGGAAAAAAAAAATAAAATTTGTTGAAAAAAAGGATTTTTTTTATTTTTATGTCCAAAACGGGTTTAAAAAATGGGATAGGTTAAAAAAAAATTGGGGGGGGGGGGGTGTAAATATTTTTCACAGGATGGGTATTTGCTAAACTTTCCCTTAAAACAATGGGTAGGAGGAAAAAGGCATGGGTAGGGGTGGGTAATTATTTTCCATGGGATGAGTATTTGCTAAACTTCCCCCTTTTTTTAGCATAAAAGTTATTTCAGCCGAAAATCAATCTATCTATATTTACTTAAAAGGAAAAAAGTCAGCCATAGGATTTTGCCGTTTGTCAAGTGCATAGAATGCCATGTGGCATTTTTTAGGACATATTAGTTAATTTAGGTTAAAGTAGTTTCTCTTTTTAAATTTTGAACTTGAAAATACTTAATTAGCTATTTTATATTTTAAAGAAAAAGTACTTTCTATTGTTTTATTGGGAAACTGAATCCCACGCTATTAGTTAGTTTAGGTTAAATTACTTTCTTTTTTAAAAATTTGAATTTAAAAACAATTAATAGGTATATCATTAAATTAAATTAAACAATCAGTAGTTTCTACGCCAATTTGCCCTAGAATGAGGAATTGGGAATTTGGCTCTTCAGACCCACGCTCTTCCTTCGCCTTTGTGCCCTAGAAATAGCAATCCTACAAATTCGGCTTCTATCCCACGATCTCTCACCACGATTTCAACTCCTCGCCCACGCATTCCTCTTTCCTACATTTTCAGTAACATGATTTCACAGTTTTCTCAATTTAGTTTTCTACTTTTACAATATATATTTCTATTCTTTCTGCGTCCTCTGCATATCAAACAACAATTATCGACTACAAGAGGTGATGTATGATTTGTATTTCATAAACAATCTTTATTACAGTTGAGATTGTATATAGATTTCTTGATAGATTTTTCTGTGTTGTTTGTTGAAAACATAACTCCTATGGCAATTGTTGCTTACCAGTCTTAGGATTATACGACAGATTCTTGCTGATGATTTTTTGGAGAATCGTCAGCAAAGAGTCAATTATTTCACATGATATTTTGCTTCATATGTGTTTCTATAAGTATTTTGTTGTAGTTTGTACTAATATTTATGAATACCTCTGTCTATATTCAGGACTTAATGGCTGCTCAAGTAAATTTCATTAGCGAAATTAACAGCAAGTCAATGAATTGAAAATTAAAGGTTCGTGTTGTCAGGCTTTGGGAAAATCCGGATCGCGACAGACCTAATACGCCTTTTTCTATTGAGATTATTGTGATGGATGAAAAGGTATTGATTTATACTGAATGATTACTTTCTATTTGCATTGTTTACATATGAATAAATATATTACAGTCATATAGAAAATAATTTAGTTATTTTAACTAATTGACTATTTTTTTTAGGGCGACTGCATTCACGCAAGTATTGGCAGGTCTTTTATCCAAAGGTTCAATCAACAAATTAAGGATATGGGTTTGTACATCATGAAGAATTTCGTGGTTTGTCCAAATAATATGAAACTGAAGACCAAAGACCACAAGTTTAAGTTGATGTTCACGCATAAGACCACTATTGAGGAAATACATGATCCACATTTCAACATGTGCATCTTCAAATTTAAAACCTATGACCAGCTATCAAATCCTCAGGAATTCGACAATACGAAGCTATTCGGTAATTAAATTTCTCATTTTTTCCAGTTTCATTCTACTTTTAGATATTTGTTATATGAATGCTAAGTGAGAAGTAATTCAATATAACTAAACATGGCAGTAAGTAGTAGGTAAAAAATAATTTCCCTATTGCTACAGTCTATAAATAGGACTACTTGATAAATCAGTGAAATTTCAAACTTGAAGAATGCAAGTAATTCAATATAACTTAATCACACTTTGATTTTATTTGACTATGAGGGACAAACTTGAAGAATTAGATCCTATGAAGCTCTGTCTGCCATACACATGTTTTGATTTTTAAATGAGTTCAATATATGTGTTAAGTAGTTCCTTTTTGGGGTGCTCTTATTTGGTTTGTAACAGTCTATACCTCTTTTGACGATTATAACTTCAGAAAAAACATGAGTAAATTGAAAAGTGATCTGAAAATGGTATGAGAAATATTTTCTTTCTGGAATTAAAAGAAAAAATGTTTCTCACCAGTGAGTGCTCTTGAATGGAATATTTACTCTGAAATGGCTATTAAATTTATAGTGACTGATATACATCTATGTATTTGGTAGTTGTGTCAGTTGTGATGCTGTAAATGGGTGTGCTATAAAATTAACCTCGCGTAAAGTAGATTCCAATTAATGAAATTTAACTACCTTTCTGGAAACAGACAGAGAAGATTATGTACTTCTCTAGAAGTTGAAAAAATTCTTTTACCACCAAAGAGGCTCTAACTCCTACGTCCTAAAGTTTGGAATTCACCAAGTTAGGGCATTTCAAATGTGTGTCAATGACGCATGAAAAAATTACAGACCTATGTGACTTTTCATGGTTCTGTTATTGTGTGCTTTTGGTTGGGACCATTTATTGCTAAAATTGATTGAGAAATTGGGTTTGGTGAATAAATTGAAATGATGAAGAGAATGAGATAATTAGCTGAAATTACAAACATGTTCTATCAAATGGGAAGAAGTCTCACCAAGTTATGTTACCAAGTGAGATACTGCTATAGAACTGTTCCAAAAGGGAAAAAAATGACATATTATGGTCTTGTGGTAAGAGCGTCGCGCGTGTTTTGT